TTTAGTTATGATATTGGAGTTATATATTATGACAGATTTTCCCCTTAGTTATAACCTACCATTTAATATGTATGTGCCAAAATGCAACTTTCCAATTTGATGGATCTGTTGCCAATTAACTCCATATATGTCATTATTTTGGACAACATATATAATCATAGTATTACACGTGGTTCCAAAAGCATATTGTGCCCCATTCCCAATTTGGCCTATCACTTCCCCTTCCCATACGGTGCAGAGTTTCTTTTATTTGGAAAAAAAATTGTGCAAGTAGCTTCCACTTTCTTATGTGAATGGTGGTTTTGTTTGTATGCTAAAAGAAATTTAGAATTCATTCCTGTGTACTTAATTTAAAACCACTCCCCTCTACCGCCCTCTATTTATGCCAGACAAGTCCAAATTGGGAGGAAATAAGTTCTGCCATAATGTAAGGCATGCCATTCTAACGTTATGTTTGCCCAGAGTAATTTGTATAGCATAAGCCATACTTGATCATTTCGGACATATTCTGAGTTCCGGCCATATCCAGCCTGATGTCCTGCATGGTCATGATATTACTCCGTTCTTTTAATTCCAATTTGTATTTAGATGCTAAATCGTATTTTTTTATTGCAGAGCAATAAAATATTTGTTCAAATATATTAACAAACCACAGGATCGGGCAAAAGCTTCACTGGTTGGCGACCAAACTGATCTTGACTCTGGGTCTGCTAGACCAAGTTCCAGGTCGATGAACCGAATTGATGAGATTAAAGCATACTTGGATTGTCGTTACATAACATCTGGGGAAGCTTGCTGGAGATTATTTAAATTTGACGTGTACTCACAGTATCCATAAGTTCTGCGGATGTCATATCATTTACCCGGGCAGAATGTTGTGGTGTCAAGAGCTAGCACAAATCCTCAGCATGTGTTGAATTCTAAACGTGCACAAACGTCAATGTTGTTGGGGTGGATGAAAATGAATGAGTTATCTATAGAGGCCAGGCAATATACTTTTGTTGAGTTCCCACAGCATTATGTATGGGATGACACCAAGAGGGAATGGCACAAGAGAAAATCTAAATTTTCTATTGGTCGGTTATACTATTGTCATCCTTCACCAACAAATGATCGGTTCTATTTGCGCATGTTACTGCATATTGTTCGTGGCTGTTGTAATTTTGAAGATATCAGGACAGTGGATGGAGTTGTCCATAAATCTTTCAAGGAAGCATGCTATGCGCATGGACTGTTAGCTAAGGATAATGAATGGAATGATTGTTTGGCTGAAGCATCTGTCTGGGCTACTGGGAAAAAACTCCGCTCTTTATTTGTGACCATAATTAACCTTTGCCAAGTTTCAGATATCGGTAAATTATGGGAGCGAAATTGGACATTGTTAGCTGATGATATTTTGTATACCCGCCGGAAGGAACTTAACATGCCTACTTTACAGATGAGTGAGTTTCAATTGAAGGAATACTGCCTCATTGAGATAGATAAATTGCTTTCAAGGAATTGCAAATCTATTTATGATTTTCCAGGATTACCAATCCTCAATGCAGATAACTTATCATCTTCATCAAATAGATTACTTATTGCAGAGCTTAATTACAATACTACAAGTCTTTCTCATCAGCTTGAAGACATTGTTTCGAAGCTTAATGTCCAGCAGAAAGTAGCTTATGAAGAAATCTTGGATTCAGTGTATGGTGATAAGGGAAAATCATTCTTCATTGATGTTTGTGGTGGGACAGGGAAGACCTTTTTATGGAAGGTAATATGTATGAAATTACGTTGAGATGAAGATTGTTCTGTGTGTTGCTTCTTCTGGTATTGCAGCACTGTTAATGGATGGGGGAAGGACAGCGCATTCTAGATTCCAAATCCCAGTTGATATTGATGGAAGATCAACATGTAATATTGCACAAGAAAGTGAATTAGCAGAGTTGATCCAACGTGCGTCATTGATTATTTGGGATGAAGTTGTTATGTCTCACAAGCATGCTGTGGAAGTTGTTGATAGATCATTGAGGGATATTTTGCGGATTAGATATGAGCACAGTGAGGGCAAACCCTTTGGTGGTCTGACAATAGTGTTTGGAGGAGATTTTAGGCAAACATTGCCTATAGTTTTGAAAGGTACAAGAACTGATATTGTCAATTCATCTATTAAGATATCATACCTCTGGCAGCATTTGAAGGTAATTAAGTTGGTTGAAAATATGCGCTTAGCAAAGGATAATTGTTCCCCTGAAGAAGCTGCTAAGATATCTGAATGGGTGATGGTCCAGATTCAGATGTCTTTGGTGAGTCTACTATTTCAATTCCTCCGGCACTGTTAGTTAACCATGCCACAGATCCTATCATTGACATTGTTAGTTCCATTTATGGTGATCTAAAGAGTCCTCAAGTTGATCATAATTATTTGGTTAGCCGAGCTATTTTAGCTCCTCATCATGACATGGTTTCTGCAATCAATGGATATGTTTTATCTGAATTTCCAGGAGATGAGGTGACATATTTCAGTTCTGATTCAATTGAGATTGATCCTGGAAAGGAGGGCGTTGTTGATTCTGACTATTCCGTAGAGTTTTTAAATACATTGAAAGTTGGTAACTTTCCAGAGCATGAGCTGAAATTGAAGGTGGGATGTCCGGTCATTCTGCTGCGGAATATGGATCAAACAGTTGGACTCTGTAATGGCACCAGAATGGTAGTTAAGACTTAGGGAAAATGGTTTATTGAAGTTGAGATCTTAACTGGGACCAATATAGGTGATCGTGTGTTTCTGCCACGACTTGCATTGTCAACATATTACAAGAGTCTAAACTTCACTCTCATGAGGAGACAGTATCCTATTGCTCTTTGTTTTGCCATGACCATTAACAAAAGTGAAGGGCAAACATTGGATCATGTTGGTTTATGCTTACAGAAACAGGTTTTCAGTCATGGACAGCTATATGTAGCATTGTCACGGGTTACAACAAAGCAAGGTCTGAAGATTTTGATTGGTGATGACAACAAAGAGGCCAACAAGTCGATGCTTAACATTGTTTTTCCTGAAATTTTTTCGTAACTTTGAGGACTTTTATTTGGTGGAACAAATGTTTATGTTCTTAACTGTATTACATTTTTCCTTTTAATTTCGGAGAGTCACAATTTGGATGGGGTGTGATTATTGCATGAATAATACATATAAAGTTTGTGTCGAAATTGGCCTGCAGCCATGATATCCGTCTGCATGTGGCAGTACTAATTCATAATCATCTTTGCATGAATAGTGAAATCAAATATAATAATTTGTGTGATTGATAATTGATCTAAGTCTGTTTATTTGTATCTAACAAGTGGAAAACATGTGTGTTTTTCCCTTTGCATTTTTTCCCCCGTGTAGTTTGTATTGGGTTATTTAGATTTCTTTTATAGTTTGATAATTAATTTTCCTTTATAATATTTTGAATCTCTATCTTGAGTTAATTGAAGTTTGGATACAATTAGGAATTTTTTTAGCTTTCAACTAGAAAGCTCTTTTTATCTGTTTATAGATGTTTAAGAAACTCTATCATATCGACTGATCGGACTAAAAATGTTGGATATCGATCCAACATTGGTAGGCAATTTTAGTGGAGGGAAATGACTCAACTACGCTTAAATCACAATTTGACCACAAATTCCCTAGCAATAACATTTTGGTATACGCTTTTGTACGGTTTCACAATTATTGCCTTTTACTTTTAAACAAAATATATTTATTATCGTTTTCAAAGCTATGTTAACTATCATCATGTAAAAAAAACTAATGATATACCTATGCAAAATATTCTAATGGACTAAAAAATACAACTTATCCAATGGACTAAATTTTTTTTAAAATTGAGATTATGTACCTGGCCACTGATAAAAAGAAAAGTTTGTACTCATAGATTACTCAAGAAATCTTACGATTTTAGGAAAACATTAATACATTTATAGAATTTACAATACTGTTATTATTACCAATATTATATATACAATGACACTCTAAAATCTGTAAAATACTAAATTTTAAATGATTAATGTTAATGAAAAAATGGGCTCATTTCCTATGCGGCTTATGAATTAATGGGGTGCAGGGTTTTGACAAAATCCATAGCAAATGACTACACACATGCGGCCCGACACCTTCCCAATTCACCTTTCTAAATTGGGCCTGTTTTTTTTTTTTTTTGGGCGGCTGCCTAGCAGCATTGGCAGCGAGTTCCATCCCTAAAGGCTAGAGAACAACCAAAAATTCTCGGCGACACCACTGCCTTTCATGGGCGAGCGAATTGCGACCTAAGTCTAGGTTCCCCGTCGGAAGCTACCGCTTATCCTAGGATGACGCTAGCTAACCGGTCTTCCCCACCCGCAACACCTGCCCCAAATATCCATTTCCCCATATCCCCAATTGAAAAAAGCAACCAAATACCCAGACTACAGCCGCCACGAACTTTGCAGTACAATTCAACCGGAACCACATTGGAAGATGGTTCCCACCTGGAATCAGACGTTCGAGGTCAAATCCTCAGCTCCGGAATGTGGCCCTCTTTGTGGCGGCAGCGGGAAACAAAAGGAACCACACTGCTTTTCAATCCGAAGTACTCCTTGAACATGGACGGTAATTTCTACTAGCCCTGTTTTGGCAGTCATTGAGAAATTTACATTGGATTATAACTGACACATTTGCATTTTTCCCTCGATTTCCATCCCCAGCTCTACATCCCCTGAATAAGCAGCTCACATTGGTGTAGCAGTTACCCTCCGAAGATGTTGCCGTTGCTGGCCAACGTGGGGTGATTGTTAACTGCCCCAACTGGAATCCACATATATATACCTTCTCTAAATCCCTCGGCTCATTTTAGATTTCAGTGGTCACTTTCTAAATCCCGCCAGGTAACTTCTTCTTCTCAGAAATTTTTTCTCACTTCATTCCTCCATCAAACCAACTTCCTTTCCTACACCACAACTAAGTGCTTCTGTATTTTGGTAGCTACACCATGGCATTTAATGGCATCCGAGATCTTGATTCCGAGAAACAACTCTGGTCAGGCCATTGTCGCATCTCCAGGGCATGGTTGGGTGTCAATGTGACGACTGATAAAGTCCTGCATTTCGATCTCATCTTGATGGATTCCAAGGTACGGCTGTGCTTTACATTAACTTGAGTTGCGTCACATATCATCCATTCTGTCTTACTTCGTCTCTATAAATCCCCAGGGAAATGATATATGGGTGCATATCCCACCAGTGCTGCAAGACCACTTCAAACGATTGCTGCAGGAACAGCAAGTCTACAACATAAAAAACTTTGAGATTCACACGACCCAACTGAAATATCGCCCCATTGCCAATACATATATCATGTCGTTCTCCCGGAAGACTACTGTTCAGCATGTTCCTGATGTCCCTTCCATTCCTGCCTTCAAATTCAGTTTCCTGAAAGCAAGTGAGATGGCATCTAAATTGAATGATGTGGTTGTCCTCTCGGGTTACTACCTCAATTTATTCAGTGGTTGATTTCCCTTCTGTACTTGCTTGCGGCTAATTTCCATTCACTGTTTCTTTGTATAGATGTTGTTGGGCAAGTAGTACAGCACTCGGCTGCCATCAAGACAACAAATCTTGCTAGGAAAACCATTCGGAAGGAGCTTCAATTGAAACTAATTGAGTAAGAGCTATCTTTACTAAGACTATATCAATATGAATTTGGAGTTACATGAATGATTGGTGATTGCTTGGGTACAACGCCCTAATTTTTCTAGGCAGCATAAATTTAGATCATAGGTTATTCAGCCCCTGATCATATAAATTCATATGAGTCACTTCATTGTATGCTGTTCATTTACACCCATGCTCAGGCATTACTTATGTTCTCAAACCTAAACCTACGTTGTTTTACAGAGGTGATGTTTTCAAAGTTGTTATCTAGGGAAGAGTTGTAGCTGAATTTGATAAGTTGATCAAACCTGGTGATGATGAACAAGTCATACTGGTTGTAACTGCTGTTTCTGTCAAACCCTTCCTAGGTACAAAATTTGTTTACACTGTGTTGCATTTGAGATATATGGGTGACTGATCAGTAGGAACTACATCAATTTACTTTTCCAGGTGAACTTTGCTTTAATTCTTCGGGTTCAACAGTGTTGTATCCCAACCTTGATATCCCAGAAGTAAAGGCTTTCACAACCAGGTATTCTCTTTTAATTGCTAATGAATATCCAAACCATACTGTTGAACCAGTGTCAAATTAAAATATTTATTTTCTGTTGAAAAAGGAATGTGCAACCACAGCAGCCCGTGTTTGTTGAATTACCCCCCCCCCCCATTCCTAATGTTACTCTATCGGAATTGCTGGAACTTCAATTGGACCCTGATAATGAGGTTAGATTATGGTGTTTTCTCTAATTTTACATTATGGTGTTTTCTCAAATCTATACTCCAATATTAACTCACTTCGACTACAACTAGGAATGTGTGTTTGCTGTCGAATGCAAAGTTGTAGGAATCAAGCCATTTTGGTGTTACATGGGCTGTCCAACCTGTGTCCTTAAACCCATAGAAAGACATGGAGAATACTACTGTGTCAAATGCAACAAGCCAACACCAACTAGAGCTACCAAGTAAATACCATATCATTGAGCTCCAAAATAAATTCCATCGGCCCCTTGAATTATAAACTTCATTGAATATGATTCCTTTCCATTTCATGCCTTTTCAGATATCGTATACAGCTTGATGTTGAAAGCAATTCTGGGCCAGCTACCTTTATCATCTTTGAGTATGAAGCAAAACGCTTCTTTGGTGTCAGTGGTAATGAACTTTTCAATAGGACTGGTCAAAACAATGAGGCACCCCCTGCAGATCTACTCAAAATAGTTGGTGTCACCAAGCTATTTCATGTCAAGTTCAAGATAAATCTCTACAGTGATTCACAAGCTGATTTCACCGTCTTAAAAATCTTGGAACCCACAGCACAGGTGAGCTACTCATTAGACCTTCCAGACTTATAACTCTAATATGATTTTTTGTGTACAATGACTAGGACACATTTTTGCATGATCTGATTCGTACTTGGTTAATAATAGCTTTTGTTGAATCCTTTTTAATTCCTATTACTAATTGTTTCTACTTTCCACCACTTCGAATCTCAGTCTCCAGCTTCTGTTCTTCACAAAGATGCCTCATGCTCATCAATTACCAGTGGAGTTGAGTCCTCCCAAACTTCATCTCAACATTCCACCCCAATTCCAGCACATCAAGAGGCAGACAAAGGCGTTTCTGTTGATATGACACCTGATAATAAACTGAAACGAAAGATGCACCCAGAGTGATATCTGAGGGTTGGAACTTTATATCACCAATATCCTATTAGTAGTTCCACTTTGATTCTGCAGAAGAGTAGTTCAAATTCCTTTTGTTTCTAGACTGCTGGGTGTTTGTCCAAACTGTTTTCTGGTTTTCCTTTTTTCCGTTTGTTGTGTTGCACACTGACAATGGGACGCTGTGCCCTACAAGGATTTATGGATTTCAATATAAGTACCTATTTTGTTGGATGCAACTCACATGTAATTCTTACTGCAATAGTAGCTTAAATAGTATTTAGCATCTTTCATTTCACGACTTTAGCATCCCATCTATTATTCCGTTGACATTTTTTCTAGACTTTTCCCCTACTTTTTGCATGCCACAGGTGGCGTTTCATCCCTATATTTCCTCAACAAGAATTCCATACGCAGCAACCACTTCAGAACGTGGGCCACATGAGTGGGGAGATTTTATCCCGCTCTCTCACGTCCAACGTTATAATAATTTGAATGTCTTCCCCAAATTATTGTTCCTACTTAGTCTTTCTCATTGGGTTTTCCCCCTTGGTTCCTTCGTCTTTCTGAAAACAGGAAACAATCAAATTAGCTAAGTTCCGGTTCTTCATTCTACTTATGGTATCATGTCTTTCGCTTCAATTTCGCAACCGGTACGAACCCTACAATCAAAGTGCCGGCTGCGGGTTCGCATTCTGCGTGTATGGCCAACGCAGAGCATGGCGGGTAATACAATTTATTGGCTTAACCTTCTCTTGATTGATTGTCAGGTAAGCATGGCGGATGTTAATTGTAACAACCTGTTCTTATAATGTGAATCATAATCATCAAAGCCTTTATTTTTTAGAGTGCAGAGTGTCAAGGAATGATTTTCAATTTTCATCTTCCCAAGTTTGACAAGAAAATTGAAGAAGGAAAAATATATCCTATTTCCAATTTTGAAGTTGCTCACGCTCCAAAACGCGATCGCGTCACCGGTTCCACCATATACATCACATTGCCTGCAAAAACAGTAGTTGAGGAGCTGGTCGATACAAGTGATATTAAAAAATACAGCTTCAAATTCTTGAAATCTACCGACTTCCCAATCGCATACGCGAACGATCAATATTTGTCAGGTTCAATTGCTTTATGCCATCCTTTGACAATTAATGAATTAAACACATCTTTATTTTCACCATGCCTTTCTTACACGTTTTTTCTCTCCTATGTTTTTATCTCAGCATCCATTACATGCTCATACAATGGGACCCTTTATCCCGCGCTCTCTGAAACCAGCAAACAATCAAATTAATTAAGTTGCGGATCTTCATTCCAGTTGCGTCATCATGTCTTACGCTGCTATATCACAACTATTACCAACCCTACGATCAAGCGTCGGCTGCGGGTTCGCATTCTGCGTGTATGCCCATGTAAGCCTGAATATAATCAATAAAATATAGTGAATGAGAATTTATTTTCACATAAAATGAAAGGATGTGCTTTGCTTTCAGATTTCAATGTGGGAACAACTATACTCATGCCAATTCATCGTCAACTTTCAAACGAAGCATATTGAATTACATTTCAGCGTTCAATCCAGTACAATTAAACAACTTTGACATCACCAAAGATCCTTTTCATTTGGAGTATAGAGAAAAGTAATGTTAATAGTTACTAAGCCAGCTCTTACCATGTACTTAGCATCAATGAAAGGATCATTGACTGCTTCCATTTTCACATCATGCCTAGATCGATGTTGCAATATGCAGAACCATACTTACGATTCAACCAAACCCTGCATTAGCCCAGTCACACTATTAGTCAGAATCCAGACAACTCTTAGGGAAAAGAAATGTTAATAGTTACTAAGCCAACTCTTACCATGTACTGCCACTTTCTCTGACCAACATGGCCTGCCACTTTTCTATTAAAATATATTATAAACACAAATAATAAGTCCCTAACTGCCATGATGACCACGTTCTTCCACTATGCCACCCATTCTCAAACTTAAACGAACTTCCTTTCCTGCAAGTCTATATAAGGAACACTTCCAGCCCGTGAAAAGGTTTGCTGCCATCCAAAATACTTACTCTTTTCCATCGTGCGGTATCAGTGATGGCTCTCCGCAATTTATCCCAATTGAACGTACATGATGATGACCAGGTTGTTCGCGTCAGGCTCCTGCGTTTATGGCATACAATGAAGCCTGATGGTGTACCACTTGACCAAATCCACATGTTGTTTCTCGACAACCAGGTACTTTGATTTTCTAAGCCTTCTATTCTTTACATGAGGGGGAAGTACACTATTCAATACTAAAAATACTTAATGATTTTTTACTGTGACTTTTAGGGAACATAGATGCAGGCCTTAGTTGATATTCTTAATGTTCAGTTGTTTGCTCCTGTTCTTCACGTGGGAAGGATCTATTTCTTGAGCAACTTTTTGGTCCAAGAATATGATGATACTTATAGAGTTTCTCCTACAACTATCCGAATCCGCTTTCATAATGACACGGTGATTGAGGAACTCCAGAATGCAGCCGACATACCAACATACAGCTTTCGGTTTTTTGGCTGCTCATGATCTTCCCTTTGCTGTCCATAACCATGAATATTTGTCTGGTATTTCTAATTCAAATGAAATCTTTATTTGGCCAGTTTGGTTTTCATATTGTGTTCCTAACGATATGCTTGGGATCAGATTTAATTGGGGAGGTCGAAACTGTTGCACAAGAAGAGGTCCTGTTCGAAGATGCTGCTATTTTAAGGCGAAAGGGAGTGCAGCTTAAATTGATTGAGTCAGTTGGTTACTGTTTTGTACAGACTACATTTGAAGTGTGCTTACCGTATGCAGACCATTCATTCTTCTCTTTCTTTTTTAAATTTTAGGGGACCTATAGTTGATGTCGTCTTATGGGATGATCTAATTGACGAATTTCAAGTTGTGACGGCTAATGATCCTTTACCAGGAACAGTAGTTGTCTTCACTTCTGTTGTTGTCCGCCACTTCGAAGGTATCTTACATGGTTTTCATTCTAAGTTTCCATGCTGTTCTTTTAGTTCATATTAGTAGTTATTGAGTTTCTAGATGTTATGGTTTTAGGGGAAGAATATTGTGTGGGCTCAAATGCAACAAAAGTATACTGCAACTTGCACTATCCGCACGTTCACCCCCTGCTTCATAAGTAAGTGTTTAACCTTTATTCAATAGAATCAGTTCTTTTATTATTCTTTCTCTCATGTTTTGGAATTATTTTTTCTTGATTTACAGTATAGAAAATGTCCCGCTGGCCATTGACTACACGTTGGAGGACGCTATATGGTTAAGTGACATATGTTCCATTTCGGAACTGAATCTATACAAGACTGACTTCAACAACCAGGTAGTTTATTTGTACACTCAGTCAAATTTCCTAAAAAAACTTCCAAAGTCCTATTTTGCTCCCATTGAATATCATAATTGTTGGCCTGGACAACATGGTTGGATTTCACTGTGTCTATAATGCTCTAACTTGACCAATAAAATATCAAGTTTCATCTTACCATTCCTGAATGTAAACTTTAATGTGGTTCATATTATAGGGGAATTTGTACCTTACTACTGCAACAGTCAAGGATGTGACTGTATTTTGGTCAAGTGTGCATCTCAAGTTTATGGTGAGGCTGACTGTTGCTACTGGACCTCATGAGGCTTCTATCATTTTTACGACTACCAAGTTCCGTTGGATAGCAAGCCGTATCATTGAGGCCACAGACAAGGAATGGACCAATGACTTCAGGACTCTCCTAGCTGCTCTCAGGGGTAATTTATTGAAGTTTATGATTGAATTTGGTGATTTCAACGGCCAGAGACCAATGAGTTTGATTTGGTTCTTCGCAAATTATTCTGGTAGAGGGTGTGAAGTACTTGAGCAGTGCTTTATTTCAAAGATAATTTCTTCAGATTTGTTCCAATTATGGATGTTGAACTCTTTGCCCGCATAGATTATTAATTAGCTGCTCCATCTACCTCCTGTGGTTTTTAGCTAATTGAAGTATTGATCATGTTAAAAGATACTTGGTTAGTGAATTTAATCTTTCTACTTATATCCAGGAATGTTTCTGCTACTATTATTATACACCAGACCTTTTTCTTTATCACTCAAAAACACTACTCAATTAAACCAAAGAAATTTGAAACTTACCTGGCACAATTCCAGCTTTTCTCCTGCTGCAAACGGTTTTTCTTAGGCTACTTTCGGATCCTCTCACAACATATATATGTGTAGGTGTCCAAACATCAACTTTCACTTTCCATACTCCATCTGACCTTTCATTGCCAGCCTTCAGGAGATCCTTTCCATGAAGAAGAAAACAATCTGAAACTCATCTTCTGTAGCCTTGGTGGAGCTGAACCTCTTATGCATCCATCCTCCCCTGGAAAGAAATCAATGCATATTGGTATTTAATAACTTCTTCTAAGAATTCTACATATAATCGTTGAACCTCTTCTCACAAGGGAGATATATTTTATCTTTTCTTCGAACAAAGAAAGGATTGAAAGCTTGCTTCTCTAGGGAAGATGAAAGCAAAACTCCTACTACTAAGACCTCCTGATGAGAGGCTTAAATTAAAAGCAATGATTTTTCTCATAGACGACAGAGCATAATCAAATCTTGGTACAGCCGTTTTGGGTCAATGCTGTACCGTATCATCATGGATGATCATATGCTAGGATAGCTAATCACCCATTCTGGAAGCAGAGTTACCACGCCATTTCCGTCTTTCATCGCAACAAATGGAAACTGGAAGCTGACTACATGAGAAACAGATGATGCACAAGGTATTTACTATGATGAATCCACAGCTTAATAAACCATTCTCAAACCATTCTCAAACCATTCTCAGAGTAATATAAAAAAGTAAAATGAAATAGCTCCAAACTGAGGAATGAGCATAAATAGATCATCTAAAGATACATAAACCATTTTGCCCCTGGTCATGTAATGACTGCAGAAAACCAGAAGATTGTTGATTAATAACATAGAATCATAGACTCACCCATCAGCACCCTCCTGGTATAGCCTGGACTGTTCCTCTCTACTTTCTTTATCGATAGACCACCACCCCATTAGTCTGTTTAGACAAATCATAAATACCAAGTCAGCATTCTCTAGCTAAATTCCGAGTTCGTTTAATTGAACATTGACCTAAGAATGAAAGCCAAATATAGTTACCTGGAACTTGAATGAATCAATTTCTGGGTCTTCTTCAGATCTTGATTATTCCTATCTCTCCAAAGATGTCGACCGGCGAAGGGAAAAGCAGGCAATTCGACGGGTTGTTAGAGGAACTCACGACCCAAATCCTGTCCAAGTTGCCGACACCCTCCGCCGTCTTCCGAAGCCGCTGCGTCACCGACATCATCGTCACCAACATCAATCGTCGTTGGTTCTCGCTGCCACGAGAAGCCGAGTCATCGCGAATCCGGCCGTTGAAGCTCCATTCGAGGAGACCAGAGAAGAGACGGGACGTCTTGAGCTGGCGATTTCACCGTCAGAGCAGGCAGCCGAGAGATCCGAATCGGGGACCCTTTCCTCTTCCTCTACGATAATTAGAACCACAAAATTAAAATGTCAGAACCCTAAATCATAAGAAAGTACCAATAATTCCACATGCAAACCACCCAAACAGATCTTACCTTCATCGCTGCTACCATAATCATCGCCGACGTCCATCGTCGTCAGTTCTAGAATCTGTCACGCTATCGCAACTCAGGCGAGGAGAAGAGAGAAGAGAGGAGAATTCCCAATCTGATGGCTCCGCTAACAGAGCAGGCAGGCTGGGGGTACTTTGTCAGAATAATAATTTTTTTATTTTTTGGTTCCAATAATGAGTTTCATTTCATAAAGAGTTCTATTTTTTTTTTTACTCTAATGGTTAAATTTCAACTACCAAATTCAGTTGTCAGTTTTTGTTGGCCTAAGTTGGTATTTCTATTTACATTTTTCTGGTCATCTCATGTACCATTCTTGCAACACATTACCAATGTAATGCTTATTATTATGGTTGCAATATCTTATTATTATGGTTGCAAGAGTACAACCCAATTATTTAATTTCAGCTTCCCTTATAAATACTATAACTTATCAATTTTTAACGGTAAGTTAACAAAACAAATTAAACGTTTTCAATTGAGTTTATCTCATATACCATTCATGCAACACATTACCGATGTGATGCTTATTATTATGTTTGCAAGATTACATCCCATTTATTTAATTTCAGCTGCTCTTATAAACACTTTAACCGAACAATTTTAAACTTAAAATTACCAAAAATTAATACGTTTTCATTTGAGTTCATGTTCCAACACTTGTCAAATGATACGATTATGTTTAGTTTACCCGCCCAACGGGCCGGGCCCATCGCTAGTAATATAATACACCGAAGGGAAAAACGGGAGCCCCATTTCAAATTTCCTGCAACGAGAGTGAAAGTAGGAAGGACATTTTGGTCTTCACAATTACTTTTTTTTATTCATTAAAAAGACACGTAATGGGATTCGAACCATGACCATTTTAAAGAAAAGCAAAGATCATAACCAATCACACTAAGTACATTTATTGTATCTTTTTAAATTAAAAACATATAATAGCATGGAGGAAAAAACCTTTCCCCCATTTCAAATTCCCTGCTCCATGAGCGTTTGTAGGAAGGGTAGAATAGGGAGTGTCAATTTTTTTCTCTTTCCTTTGTGGAACGGGACAACTTACCGTACACATGCGGATTTAAACGGGTCCAGGAGTGTCAATTTTTTTCTTTAAGCCCTTCTATTTCTCCCCGGTGATAAAATATATATGAAAAGGCAAAAACAATACTCATTTTTATTGCTAAAAATAAAAAATTTAACCATAAACTAATGCATGGTATCTAATGGGCTAACCGCTAATCATAAAATAAAAGAGTTGAATGGGTATGACCTGCACGGGATTTGGCCATCAAGTAAAACAAATGAACATCATTGGTTTGTCATTCTAAAACAAGCTATTTTCTCTCGCATAATATATATTATGCTATTATTTTATATCTTAGTGACTATAATATAATGTATTTTAAAGTTATTCAACAGTTCAACCTCGACCAACCCAATTAGTCCAATTTTTATCATTTCAAATAGGAATGGCAATGGGGCAGGTCTGGGGCGGGTATCTCGATACCCATACTCGCCCCATGGCAGGTCGGGTAATTTATCACGGGGCGCGGGTAGGGGCAGGTCGACCCGTTGGGTATGTAATTATGCGAAAAAAATTAGAAACATTCGTCATTTTCATTAAAAGACCAAGAAAGAAACCATAATATGATAAAATGTAGTTAAATTATTGAAGAAATTGAGATTTTCACTTATTTACAACTTTATTATAACTAAAATATAATGTAATAAGAGGAAAATCCTAAGTAATTTGACTAAGATTATATGTAATATAGGCAAGAACGGGTCGAGAATGGGGCGGGTCAGGGCAGGTCGGGTCGATGAGAGGTACCCATCCCCGCCCCGCCCCGCCTAAGTGGCGGGTTTGACCTGCTCCAAAACAGGTCAAACAGGTCGGGTAAATCGGGTCAGGTCGAAATTGCCATCCCTAATTTCAAATATATATTATATAATTATTTGATATCATAATGATCAAATTATAGTGTAATTATAGGGAATCGTTTGATAATTGTTAGTAAAAAAACTAAACAGAACGATCTATTTGGTTATTTTAAACATTAAATCGATCCTAAACATTTTCAGTTCCTTTTGAATTTTTATGGTTTTATTCTCGCATAAGTGATGTGCAAATGGAGAATTGCAGTCATCTCTTTTCTTTCACTATTTTTTATTTTCAAATAGAAAGTTTAAAAGTAAAGAATAATTAGAATTTGGCATGGGTCGGTCAAACATGCTGAATTTCAAGTTTTGGCCCGTTTTGATCAAGTCTAATTTATAATCACATGGTTCCCTGATACCCGATAAAAATCTCAATCCAAACCAGTTTGGCAGGTGAGTCTGTGTTTACCACCATTTTCTAGGATACGACAACGACGGTTCCTATTCCAAATTGTGTTATTCATTCTTGATTTCCTTAGATTTTATCATGGCCTAACAAAAACCAGAAAGCACAATGACGACAAGATGAAAGTTTTATAAAGCAAATTAATCGACCAACGAGCCGAGTAAAAGCTAGCAACGATTGTGAGATGCTCATTTCCCGAAAACCGGCGGGATAGGCGATTTTTTATTTGATTTTCTGGAATTCGGTTTCTATAAAACTTACTCCACCTCATCATATTACCAGAAACAATATTGTTTCACAAGGTAACATGTACTTGATTTTGGTTCATAAGGCCGATTTTTGATTAATTGCATCATTCATGTCTCTTCCAAAGTTTCTGAATTTCCGATACACATTTGTTCTTCTACAATATCTGATACGAAGTGAGATAATTCTAATGTAACCGTATTAATGTCGTTTGCTGATGTAAGGTCTATTGCATCTATTCCTTCTATCAATTTATTTATGTAATGAGTGCTAGGCATCTTTACAATTTTTTGCTCATTTCTACGATTAGTTCTTGTAACTTTTTTATTTCACTAGTATTATCATTTTGATGAAGAATAGTTATGTTTTTTATTTCCTTATTTTCTTCTTTCTCCATTTCCTTCTGCTTATCGGTTAGTCTCATGGAAGAACTTCTCTCATCTATACTTATTCTTGGATGATCATAGTTTGATTTTATTATTTTTAGAGGGGATTCTAATTGAATTAATGGTTTGAATAAATCTTCTATGGTGATGGCTTCCTTATCTTTAAACGCTAGACTATGATGACTATTGGTCAGTGCATAGTTTATCTGGTATGTTACTGAAAAAGGTTTACTGCTTTCTTTCATGAAATTTTTTCTTTTCAATTCATACTTTATAATAATGGAAGAGTCGAGATTCCCATCTGTTAAACTAATTCCTTGTTGTAGATTAATATCGAATTTGATTATTTCTACTCCTAGATTTCCTTTTCCTTTTGCAATAATACTCTCTTCTCTATTGATGAGTCGATCATCTCTTATTTCTAGTTCTATAGGTGCACTTATCCCTGTTTTCATAGTAGATTTTAGAATAATTTGTATCGTGCTAATATGAATATAAGCTATTTTATTTCTTTCTTCCTGTTGTAACTTGGATAGTTTTTTCCTAATTTGTTTCCTATTTATTATTTGAATTAGGAAATCTCCCTTAGTTTGCTCTATTGGTACTGCCGTTTCTCCTATCATTTTTCCATATTTAATTATATTTTTCCTATCAAATAGTTTGGATAAAAAAGACTTAGTAATAAAATTTTGCGTTTCTGATAAGGTAAAATTAGTTTGTTCCTTAATTTTCTTGACATCTAATATTCCATCTAGAAAATAATTTCCTTCCTCATTTTTACTTAAATAATCAAAGTAATTGTTACTGCTACTAGGGTTATCCGACATACCTGATTGTTGCTTAGGTTGGTTGATGCAACTTCTTGCTATTGAACGTCCCCATGATGGTGTAGTGCGAAGGAGGCTGATTGCTTATGATCGTTGAAATGGTGTTGGAGAATTCTTTTTGGTGTTAATGGTTGGTGTATAGTTTTTTATGGATAGGTGGTAGTGGATATGAGCATCTCCAGAGTATTATCTCAAACGCTCTGTGCCGAAGCACCAAGACTACACTTAGTCTTTTGAGAGAGAAATCTCAAATTTTTATTCTACTCTGCCTCCTTATGCGGTTCAGATGTACATATTTATAGATGCAGGGGCTTTGCCTACTTACATATATACTTACATCACTTTCTACTAGGAGGAGAAAAACAGACACACGTTATGGACTACATTATTGATCAAAAGAGAAAACAGACACACTTCTTTAGTCGTTTTCTTGTTGATGTGTCAAGGTTGATGTGTCATCCTTGTCATCTTCTCCTTTAGTCATTCCTCCTTGGCTTTTTCTCTTTTTCCTTTGGTGGGTGGACGAGTCGTCCACTAATTTTTTGTCTTCTTGGTGGATCACATTCCTTTGATTCCATTACTACTACTAGTGGATGTAGTCATATCTGCTGCACAGTGGGTGCATATGTGATCCTCGTAGCTGTAATAATTTACAAAGTTGCTGTTTTTGTTCTGACGTTAGCGGGCAACGTTCCTTCTAGATTGATAAAATCCTTGGCTAAATCTGTGATAAATCCCCATTCTTCCGCTGTGATCTGGTTTTTAAAATTGCTGATGATGATCTTGTTGGTGCTGGTATAATTGACTTACTCAATATAATGATCTGACTTGATAGTCTTTTGGAATCCTGGCTGGCTCTAATTCATCTCTGGTTGGATAGTTGTCATTAGATGCTCCCATCTTGATGATTGCTTTTGATGGAACGATCATTTCTTCCTTGTTAAATACCGGATAACTGGATGTGTATCGTAGATAGATTTCTCTACCCTTAGCGAACGAGTCTAGATACCTTTTTACGACTATCTTGAACTTTGTTGGGAATTCGTCGAAAATATGAGTCTTTTGTGTGTATATTGTGTCGATTAATCCATATTGATGGAGAGCAAATAGTGTTGTTGGTGAGATTTTATCTGTGATGATGACTGCTCTTGGACCTCCCTTAAAGGTTGGATAGAAGCCCATGGTAGTATGAATTTCCTTGTAATTGAGAAGATCTTCCCAGCATTGTTGGAATTTTTGAAGTGTAGGTCTATTGAATTCTTCCTGTTGTTTCGTGGTTGGAATATCCTTAATGCTGATGCTTGGTA